ATATTATCAAATATGGCCCCTTTATGCAGTTTTATTTGGTTTTCATACATTCTTGGCATGTTTAGTTCTTTCTACTTCATAGTAAGTCACATAAGATAGTTTTGTTTACAAACATCACCAAGTATGGTAGATATTTTGAGTTTAGAAGAGATCTAGCATGTTTTCATAATATAATCACAACATATAACATGAAAACACACATATACATGCATAAATACATAGATCTAACACATATCAACTTGTATCCTCCCCCAAAACATAGTAAAAACCGAAAACAAGAGGGTATGAACTCACTTTGGGAGGTGGATTCGGTTTTTGAAGAAGCGAAGAAGATGTTTTCGGCCTATCTTGCTTCTTGGGAAGATTTTAAGTTCCTTGAGAGTTCTAGGAGCATGGATCACGAAAACATGTGTGTATGAGGAATGATTTAACTTAAATGGATGGTAATAAACCTTGAGTTTGGTTAAAACTTACTAATAATGGTTGAGATTTGATGAAGTGTTCTTGAACACCCACACAAACACATACGAAATTTTGGAAGAATGGAGGGTGGTATTTCTTGTGCTAGAGAGGAAAGGATGAGAGAATATTATGTTTGAAGGAAGGCCCATTAGGGGCTCTCGGCCCAAAAGAGGTAAAATCAATGGGTTTTCGGCCCAATGAGGTTCAAGAAATTGTTTACGGCCCAATAAGGCTCATGAAGAGTTTTGTGACCTAAAATCAATTACTTTGTGAATGTGAGTCCAATTAGGGCCCAAATGAGGTATCTTAACCCAAAATAATCAAGTTGTGGGTGTATTGGCCCATTAGGCCCAACAAATGATTCCTAGTCCAAAAAGATGTTTGAACTAGGAAATTAGGTTTACAATCCAAAGTTAAGTGTTTGAAATGCATCGAATTAGGTTTTGGGCTTCACGAGTGAGTTTTGATTCGAACAATTGTTTTTGAATTGAATAACATGTATAGCATAAATCTTAGAGTTACCAGATACATCAAGAGTTGATCATACATAGACAAAATTTCCTAGCCCAAATATGCTCGTTGTGACATCCTTCCTCGAAATTCAAAGTTGGAAGTTCAAGTTTTTCTCTAAAACAAGAACTTTATAAAACACCAAGAACACACACACACATACACACCAAGTGTGTGTTTTCTTTCTTCCAAAACCAAGAATGAGAAGAGAAGAATGAAGATGATGTTTTATATTTTGGTTTTATTCATAAGCATATATTGCTTAACATTAAACAAGATATATATGAAGGGGAAAAATCAAGATAATCCTCATGCAAGATGAAGATCACTAAGAACGCACATCAAGTGTGTGTTTGTGTGTGTTCTTCTTTCAAAACCGGGAGCAAAAAAGATAAGGGACAGTTATTTTGCTAGTTGTTTGCACTCTTGCATTTAATGTAACATCCATAAAATTCGTGAAAAATTGAAACTTTTAAAAACCAATCCACAAATCATCATTGTTTATAATTTAGTTCTCAAAACATGTTTAATATCAGCGTCTTCACAAAATCATAAATCCAAACGCGAGGAGGTGCATGATCATGCCTTCGCCTTTCCCCGGTCATTTGAGGTACCTGAAACATAACCCAAATTGTAAGCCCAAAGCTTAGTGAGTTCCACCAACGTACCAACATAATACATAATCATAATAATAATAACAAACATCATGCATATAGAGCCTTCAGTCTGACTTGAACGCCCCATTATCCTACAATTTATCTAGTACGCTCACAGAACCTTCAGCATGACTGGTACGCCTCATCAAGCCTTCAGTCTATATGGAACATTTTTCGGGGCTTCGACCTGACTGGTACACCCCACTGGCATGCAGTCTATCTAGGACGTCCTGGGTCTCTTGGCCTTGAGAACGTATCAGGACCACCTCAACCCAACATACCATCACATATTAACATATATCATATCAAACCCTAGCTAGCATAACAAACAGTCATACAGATTTAAAAGATCACTAGGCATAACATCATCATATATTCCAGGATACGGATCTAACATATCACTACAACATATAAGCAGGCGATAAACCAGGATAACAATCCAAAGGGGCCGACCTTAGTGCCTTCGACCCAACAGTACAATGAGGAAGACTCACCTCGCAAACTGAATAGAAGTGATGAGGTCTGACTCAAAATCTCATCTCTCTAACCGATACCTATTTCCACCAAGTGACCAAATTCCATCAAAATCCCAAAATACCCTCAAGTTCAAACTTGATCAAAGCCAAAGTCAAGTGGTCAACCCACTAAGTAAACTAAGTCAACCCAACCAATTCAACTCAACAAGTCTAACCCATGCAAGTATGCAGAGCGTACTCCGAAGGTACGCTTAGCGTACGCGAAGCCTCGCAGAAGATCACCACCTGGGTGATTGACCGAGTACGCGGGGCGTACTCTTGCAGCCTCCAAACTCCATTTAATGCTTAATGGCTTAAGTACTTAAGACCATATTTCAGATCCTTGACTAAAACACACCCTAGAGTCATAAAGTTTCGAACTTTATGACCTTACACACCTAATAAGAGCTTAGCACAAGGTTAATCCATTAAGACCTCGTATAAGATGCATGGAGCAAATCTAACCAAAGGGGCTTCATTTTTATGGCTAAGGACCCTTCCTAGGGTCTGAAAGGACAACTCAAAACGTCCAGAACAACCATGCACATGATGGGACCTCTGGGACAAGAAAAGTAACATAAAACACCCAAAAATGGGATCTAACAAGCAAGATGTCAAGGTATAGACTTTTATACCTTTTGGAGCTTCTCAAGAAGGCAAATATTCCAGATCCACAAGCTTGCTTCCACTTTAAGGCTCCTTGATGCAACTTCTTCCTCCTTTAACACACCAAAAACACTCTCTTAAGCTCAAAACACACACTAGGAAGGCTAGGGTTTGCAAAAACGTCTTAAAGGATGTGGAGGCTAAAAAGGTGAGGAGAAATGAGACATAGTGTTGCTTAAATACCACCCAAACCCTAGAAATTAGGGTTTGCAAAAAACACCCCTCGTACATAGGTGTACTCCCAGCGTACTAAGGCCTAGTACGCCCAGCGTACACACATATACGCATGGCATACTCCTCCTGCCATAATTACGAAATTGCCACTAGGGCTTCCAAGCATAACTTCTTGGGCTTAGGGATCAAAAATGACATTAAATAGAATTATAAGGATGAATTTAGAAATACCTGAATGTCAGGATGTTACATTTAATCTTCCAACCACATCTTCATGATTACAAAAGCAATCAACCAAATGAGAGCTAGGTATACAACCAACAGAAAGGAGTTAGACTTGCATATTTCTCTTTAAACCCTTCCAGTTTGTATTTGTTAAACTCATCCATTTAACTTTTCAAACATTTATTATTATTATCCCTCTTTTTAAATTGTAATAAAACATGATCAATTATATATTTAGAATTTATAATTTGCATTCCATATTATAAATCATATTCAATAATATTTATAATACTTGCGCATCTTTTATTTGAACATTTCCAAATAATATTTTCAAGGAATATTAATATTCAAGAAGTGAATTCTTATTAATATTAATTTATTGTCTAACTTGTTATTGGTATGACCATATATGATCATATATTATTGATAATATTATTTTATGATCATTCTTGAGCATATGAAACCAATAATAAGAGGGTGTTTGGATAGAGAAAAAATAAGCTGCTTATTGCTTATTGCTTAATCTCACCGCAATAAGCAAATTTAAGTATTTGGATAGGAGTTTTTAAAAATCAGCTTATTGTGGTAGGAATAAGTAAAATAAGTTGATTTTAATAAGCAAGGGGGGAATTGCTTATTGCTTATTAGTATTTTTACTCATATAAGCTGTTTTATTTTGTCAAACACTTAAATGCTTATTGTTTATTGTTTATTCCCACCGCAATAAGCTAATCCAAACACATTTTAAAAAAATGCTTATTCTCACCACAATAAGCAAATAAGCAATAAGCTAATAAGCTAAAAACTATTTATCCAAACACCCCCTGACTTGAATATTTATTTCCCTCATAACATTTTTGATTTCACCTAACATGGTGTCCATTCCTTCGTAGATTACTCCCATTTTAAGACGTTCACCATCACAAAATTTGCTTAACAAAAAAATAGGTTTGTAATAGCCAAAATATTCTCAACCACTTCCCAAAACCCGTCATCTTTAATCGTATCGACGACTTTTGCCCCCAACTAATCGAGTGTTTTCGTCCCCACTCTAGACCACCCATTCGAGATGATTGAGACTCATTGTGTACACCATGTGTCTCTAACCGCTGATAGCTCCTTCTCAACATTTCTAACACATTCATCAAGTAAGACAATTCTCGTTTTTTTCACCCGAAGGGGGTTTGTAGCCAAACGGGGCTTTCTTGATGGCGTTAAACCATTTCAAGAAATTGTAGGTTGCATAACACGTTGAAAGGAACCATGTTTGCATACAACCCTCGAATGATCTTCAAATCCACGACATTGCTCTCTAATATGCCAAAAGTTTCTTCAATGTGCCTATTTTGTAATGCATCTTTGGAGACTACTCAATTTTTAAAAGTTTTAACACTCCACAACGTTCTACTTCTTTAACCTTCTTTGATAGGTTGTTCAACTTGTCTCCATTTCTAACCATGACTAAACATCTTTTAACCTCGACTTTTCCCCACATCAGGCCCAAAAAACGGACATGAATTCCATTGCAAGAGCTCATGATTGCAATCCACTTTTTAACACCTCCTTCGTCCTTCTTGTTTCCAGTGCCAACAAAGGTTACTTCATCAAGGAGTGACTTAGTAGAATCTTTTTATTCAGTTGGTTTTTCCGCTTGACTTCCTATTGATAATGTTGTGTTTTGTACCTCATCATCAATGTCAATGTAACTTTGTGTGTCACTCACTATGGTCTCACTGTCATCTCCCAGAGTATTGCTATTGAAGATTAAACGACTGATTTTAAAGAATAGAAATAGAAAAGAAGTTGATGAAATTCAGAATGATCAACAAGGTATTCATACATGTTCATGGCTTAAGCGTGAAATTGGAAGATGTAACTATGTTGCCACATCATATCATGATATCATCATCCATCTTCTACCTATGAAAGGCTACTTGATCAAATTCAACAACCAAAAATCTATGTCACGACATACAACTTACTATTACTACAAACATAAAACTTAAAATCAAAGCAATCTTCAGTTTACAAAAGTACAAACACGAGTGACAAGTATTTAAAAACCTCCAAAAATATATAATAATATGAACATACGTTTTTAACAATTCCAAAATCCACTTCCAAAACCACCAACAATCAAGAGATGCTACTTCCCCTTCTTTGAACCGGTTTATAAAGTACAACATTCACGTATTTTGACCGAAAACGATGCGAGAACCCAAGCGCCACAACTGACCGAGGTGCCTCTCTGTTCTCAATGTAAAGATGATTCAGCACCACGTGTTGAGGGTCGGGCAGTCGGGCAGCCGGGTCCCCGTTTTTCGGGTAGCTATGGCTTAGGACCGTGTGTTGTAGGTGCTGTGGGACTATGGGTGGGTCCCGCCCATCATCTTCTGTTGCAGTGTAGATATTGTTGTAACTTGCATCCGGTGATGTTGGGACTTCAAATCCAGCCACCACAGGTGTTTCCTGTGATATGATTGCGTACACTTGTCGACTTGCTATTGGTTTTGATATATAATTATTAAAAAGGGTTTGGAAAACTTACCTGATCTTGACAATGAGAATTGTTCATTATGACGCGAAATATGGATTAAATTCTAGTAGAGGTTCAAATCATCACCGAATAGTTTATCCTGAAAGAAGATATATAGAACAATGAAATTACATCTTCAATTAACATAGGGTTCAAATGCTTCCTTTGAAAAAGGTATCTATCAACATCATGCATTTCAAAGTTTCACTAGGCCAAGATGTTCGATGTGCTTAAATGAATTTGTGACTTCATCAAGATATGGTTGTCAATGGCCTCCAGGAGAAACACAGAGATTGCACATGTATAATCATAGGAAAACTACTCGACTACATGTTCTGAAAGAAGATTAACTTCTAAAAAATTACTTTTTAGGGTTAAAATAGAACCAAACTTCAAACGAATGATACAAATCCTATTCCAGAAAATTGCTGTTCCTAAGCATCTAGGATGAATTCAAGAAAAAAAATATATTCGGTTCGGATTTCTCAACAAAATCGGGACTCCAATTTTGGGACGTGCAACCCTAATCGATCGAATATGTTATATGCATATATGCCGATCAAATATTCTCAAATTTCAGAAATTTCATGTTGTATACAGGATCTAAGAAACATAGAGAATTGGTATTAATTCTGAATTCGCATAATTCGAAACGAGATCAAATTAAAAAAATAATAAAAAAAATTCAGAAGAACAAAACGAGGTGGATATATCGACGAACCTGTTGGATCAATGATTGCTTGATTAGGCAACAGACTTATAATCCTTCACAGTCGTGGAATTTCACTTGTGCAATCAAGAAATTTCTTAACAAAAACCGGAAACCTAAAAATCGCAAGAAAAAAGAAGGCGATGAGCAGAAAATGAGATACTGAGCGAAAAGAGGGAAACCCGAGAGGCCGAGATGAAAAGAGGTTGACTTTTAAATGGACCGAGTATTAATCCGAATTTGAAATGGGCCTCTTAGAGATCCAAATTCGTGACCTATTTCTTTTTAGTTCGTTTGATTTGGTATATTACGAAACATGAGACATTGAGACGCATAATTATTTAAGATTGATCTTGTTCACGGAGTAAAATGTTAATTTTTGGATTATATAAGCATAATCTATTATTATGTTGATTGAAAGTAAACAATGGCTAAGGTTTTATTATTAATTATCATCAATAAAAGTTACATAGTGAAAGCAAAAAAACGTTATAAATAAAAGATATTTAGGGTAAAGAAAATAGCTAAACAACCCACAACTAAAAGGACTAAACAAAAACAAACATAAATATACTTAACATCTCTCCTCAAAATCGCATGACACTTCAATACCATTGTCCATTGATAATTTGTGAGACAAAAAACATAAATGTAAAACTAATAGAAAATTTGATTAGCCAAATCACGCTTTAAGTACTCAATACCATCATAATCATCATTGGTAATAATCATCTCACCAACCACCACCAAGGGCAAGAGGATCCAACCTATAATTGTACACTTAACAAACAATGACAAATAGTGATTACCAGGAACGTAGGAAAAAGAGGCAATCATCATGGATAACTTGGATCTACTTGTGTCATGTTGATTCAACACATTAATATTCAATTAAAGAATCTTAAATAACATCTTTTAAATACAACATTTTCTAGAATAAACATGATTGATGTTATTTTGACAAAAAAAATGTTAAAATAACAATGTTTCGAAGTCCAAAATCCAAACGGCATTCTCAAAATGAGATAGTTCGTACTAATAATTACTGTAACAATATTGCATTAATTTTTTTATAAAACCTATCGAAACAGAAGTTTGTTCCATTACAAAGACATAAAAGACATCACTTAGGGGTGTTTAAAATTGTTTTTAAACAATTTATTGATTTATTTGCTTTTTAAGAGGTTAATAATAACTTTTTTAATTACCTTTTGGTCACTACTAAAAAGGGACCTAATGATCTTAGGACAAAGCGAGGAAACATTGAGATCAAGTGGCACCGGCGAGAACCTTACCCTTGAACTCCAATATTGAAGAAAGAGACCATGAATTCGGGTGGATGTCCAAGCCGTTACACCCAACTAATGGCTATATTTCAACTTGTTATCAATTTTTTCAAAATTTTTAAATTTTATACACGCGCCAAATAGACACATCATCTTCAATATCCTTAAGTTATCATTAAGTTCAGACTCTATGTATCGGCATTTATCTTCATCATCGAGTTTATATGTTACAAGCTGAAGTTAGGTCATTTAGTTAAGATGGAGGTTTTAATCTAACAACTAACTAGAAGATCATGGGTTCGATCTTTGATAGATGAGAAAAATACTTATTTGTCATTTCCAAAAAAAAAAAAATAATAATTATAAAAAAAAAAAAAAAAAAAAAAAAAAAAAAAAAAACGAATTCATATGTTATGTCTATCAAATACATATACATGCGACTCTCACGTGAAAACCATTGCTTAAATTATGTTCCTTCATTTTTATGGAACTACATGTTCAACCAGAACAACAAATACAAGAAGTTGTGTAAGAATATATGTGTAAATCCGTTGGTAATATAAAGTAAGGTTGATTTTATCCATTGTTACATGGTATCAACCGTTCACCTTCTTTCTCTCCCCTTCAATTTCTAATTTCTTCTTGGGATATTCTTATGGCTCCATCGTCTTCCTCCTCCTCCACCGATGGCCCGTTCTCCATGAACACTCTATTACATATGTTGACTATCAAGCTTTCATCCAGCAATTATCTTCTCGGGTGCAACCATATGCTTCCCATCTTCACCTATCAACAACTATTAGGGCATATCGACGACACTTCTTCTTCTCTGCCGCCTACCATCACTGAAGCAAACAAAACTATTCCAAATCCTGCTCTTGCTGTGTGGAATGATGCAGATCAGTGTGCCATTATTCTCTTGCACTCAACTCTCACTGAAGAAGCAGCGGCTAAAGTATTTGGTCTTTCCACTGCTTGACGGATCTGGTAAGCTCTTGAATCTGCTTATAACAATTGCTCTGTAGAACGCATTCAATCCTTGCGTGATTCTCTTCGTCAATTGACCAAAGGAACATCTTCTATTCCTGATTATAGTCGTCGTTTTGAGGCCATCTGTAATCAACTATCTGTGATTAGACACCCGGTTGTTGAAATCGACAAACTACACTGGTTTCTTTGTGGCTTAGGACCATCCTATGAAACATTCTCTACAGCAATTCGAGCCACAAAGCTTGCACCCGTCTTTCGTGATCTCGTTACACAAGTAGAAAGACACGAGTTATTTTCGCAGTCCATCCATGGTGCTCCTACTCCTCCGGCTGCTTTTCATGTGCAACAAAACCAATCATCTCCCGGTCGGGGTCGTTCCACCTCTTATCGTGGGAACAAATCTCGAGGTGGTAGGAGGCGTGGTCAAGGGAGACGACCTCCTTATTATCAACTCTACAGAAACAATGGACATTATGCGTCTTCCTGTCCAAATCTCCACACCTATGCCAGTCAAGCTGCTCCCTCGAATGAATCTTTATCGAAGGCTTTCCATGCCCAATGTCATGTCACCACTAACACTCCTGATTGGCATGTTGATTGCGGGGCCACTGCTCATATGACCCCTGATCGTGAAACCCAACATCACTCAGCACCATACCAAGGTAACAATGAAGTAATCTTTGGAAATGGAAAGAAGCTTCCCATCATTTATACAGGTTCTTCTGTTATATCAAAAATCATTCCTTTAAGTGATGTTCTTGTTATTCCTAATCTTACAAAACACTTATTATCTGTCAGCAAGCTTACCAAGGACTATCCTGTTGATGTCCTTTTCTCTCAACCTTTTTTTACAATTCAGGATCGGAAAACAAAACGGGTACTTGCTAAAGGAAGCTGTCAAATGGTCTCTATGTGTTGAAGGATGAACCTGAAGCCTTGGTTGCTACCTCTAGAGTTTCCACTCGAGCTTCTTATGAATTGTGGCATACTCGTTTAGGCCACGTGTCTTTTGATATTATTTCCCTTTTAAATAAGTTATATGTTTTATCTATTACTTCATTGTTACCAAAACCAACTGTTTGCACTGCTTGTCAACTTCCAAAAGGGCAACGTTTATCTTTTAATCTAAATTACAAACGTTCATCTCAACCTTTAGACCTAATACATTGTGATTTATGGGGATCAGCTCCCGTTTGTTCTATATATGGTTATCGATATTATGTTTCATTTATTGATGATTACTCCAGGTTTACGTGGTTCTACCCACTTAAAACCAAAACAGATTTTTATTTGATCCTACCTGTTTTTATTAATCTTGTTCAAACTCAATGCTCGAGAATGATAAAGGTGTTTCAAAACGATGGTGACAAGGAATTTGTGAATCACACAATCCGAATTTTTTTTTAACACAATGGCACACTTCATAGGTTTTCGTGTCCATACACACCTCAGCAAAACGGTCGAGCGAAACGAAAACATAGGCATATTGTGGATACTGGCTTAGCAATGTTGTTTAATGCTAAAGTTCCTGCGTGTTATTGGGTTGATGGATTTACCACAGCTACATTCATAATTAATCGTTTACCTACTTCATTATTTGCAAACCAATCACCATTTCGCTTGATCTTCAATCAAGACCCACAATATGCCAACTTTTGTACATATGGATGTCAGGTATTCCCTTATTTGCATGACTATTCCAAACACAAATTTGAACCTCAAAGCATCCCATGTGTGTTTATTGGCTATAGTCAGCAACATAAAGGGTACATGTGTCTTGATCCAGAATCTTTTCGTATCTACATCACTCGACATGCATGATTTAATGAGCAAGTGTTCCCGTTTCATGGTACATCTCTTGATCCAAATTTATCTCAATTAACTCTTACTACTTTTCTTGAAGAACTTCCACAGTCTTCATCATCTCTTAATGTGTCAACTAGTCTTACTCCTCCTGCCAAAGCTAATGAGCATACTACAAAATCATCACCTTATGCTCTTTGCAAGCCACCAGACGAACATCGAGACCCACATGCCACTCTTTTACCCGAACAGGTCCATACTGATGCAACTTATCCTTCTCCATCTGTTTCGTTTACTATAGCCTCTGCTGAACAGGCTCATGTTTCATCTGATCATCCGGTTCCAAGCACATCGTCGCCTATGCCATCACCTGAATCTTTTGTATCGAGTCATCCAATGATTACCAGGTCCAAGGCTGGTATTTTTCGACCAAAACATCAGGTTGATCTAGCTTCCCTCACTACTAACTGTCTTCATGTTGCATTAATATCGACAACTAAACCCAAAAGTTTTAAAACGGCAGCCAAAGATCCAAAATGGATGGCTGCCATGAACGAAGAATTTGAGTCTTTGCAACAAAATAACACGTGGACCTTAGTACCACGTCTTGGTCTTACCAACATTGTAGGGTCCAAATGGGTCTATTGCATCAAATATCACTCAGACGGAACCACCGAACGCCACAAAGCTAGATTAGTTGCCCGAGGATATACTCAAATCCCGGGTCTCGACTACTCTCTCACATGTAGTCCGGTTGTCAAAGCATCCACAGTTCGAATTGTCATTACACTTTCCATCTTGAATAATTGGAAGTTTCATCAACTAGATGTCAAAAACGCGTTCTTAAATGGTAACTTAACTGAAACGATCTTCATGGAACAACCTCCGGGATTCATCAACCCTCAGTCTCCAAATCATATGTGCAAATTATCCAAGGCATTCTATGGATTAAAGCAACAAATCATATGTGCAAATTATCCAAGGCATTCTATGGATTAAAGCAGGCACCACATGCATGGTTTCAACGTTTAAGCACCTTTCTTATTTCTTATGGTTTTATATGCAGCCGTGCAGACACTTCTCTCGTTATTTTTCTCTAAGACTCATG